AACTGGCCGTAGGCTTCACTGCTTCACTGTAGTATGACAAAAAACAAAGGAATGTTTATGTCGTGGATTTTGTGTAGTAGTAATTATTTAAGGCGGTCTCTGTTGCTGCGGCATAACCACCCAGCGGTTAGTTCGACGTAAGTCTCCCTTAATAGAGTATTTCAATCACAAGTCTGTTGGGCTGGTCGACTTTCCTGAAGGTTACGGGTGTGTCCCGCTCTGTTGTTTGGTTTCTGCGATGTCTTGCGTAACGTTTTCATTCAGAGAAAGAGAATGCATGTGACATAGGGGAGTTGTGTCAGACCCAGTTTGTCCATGTTTTTCGAGTGTTAAAAGCGCTGGCGTCCTGAAATATACAACACGCGATATCAACGGCATTGCGGAACACCACAGTAATCTTGCGCGAAGGCCAAGGAGCTCAGGAGTTACCAATCAGAAGTGAGTTAGTGTGTATATGGGCAGGGTCTGGGGAGACTAACGTCGAACTAACCCCACCCAGCATTAAAAAAGATGGAGCTGGGCCGTGTTCGTGGCAAAGTGGATCAGCCGGTTTTTTTTTTTTTTTTTGCTGCCTGAAGGCTGTTGGTTCATTTCATGGACTGTGTTGATCGGTTCACGGGTGGAGTTTTCACTGAGATCCCAAAGGATCGGCTATAGGGCTATAGGGCTCGTATTATGTTGCTTGGTATGTGCGGCCTTCTCAACAGGTAGCTGCCTTTTTGTGGAGAGAGACCAGTTCATACTGAATAAAACTCGGTCCAGTGAAATCGATCATTTGACTTTAAACTAATCAGAAAATATACTGTACCCACCGCTCCAGTTTAGTATAAATTATAAACTACACACATAAGCCGCCGTATTGTAGCGGCTAGAAGCTTCCCTGTGGATCGGAAGGTCGTGGGTTCGGGTCCTGGCGAAGACGTACTTTTTACAAAAAAATGACCTTGACTCCCAGATTGACCGAGCCTTAAGTAGGTACTAGGTACAGTCATGCGATGTAAAGGCGGCCGGTGTGACGCTAACCACATCACACAACAAGTGCTGATTGGTCTGAAAAATATAGGTCTAGCCCTATATCGCAACATGTCTAAAGGCGTGGAAAAGGGGCTTTTACTGTGTTTACTTCTCTAACCTAGTTAACTAAAAAAAAATATTATGAAAGTTGAATGTTGAATTAAGAATCGACATCACAGCACTCGGGACACTCCCATAAGTGCTCAGTCCCCATCTTCAGCAGCAAGCGAAGAGTTCCAATTCCGATGGTACCAGTAACTGTCTGATTGTGTATCCGTCTCATCCTTCCACTGAGTGTTGAGCGTCGGCCAGATCCCCTGGTAACTCCTCGCAGCACCATTCTCCTCAGACCGTAATGATCTATCTGCGCCTCCGCACTATTCACTCGCTCCCAAAGGGCCCTCACAATATCTAACTTGTCATACATCAATTCACCACCTAAACAAATCTTATAAAATAGACAGTACACTCTAACCACATTTACGGTAGATCATGAAATATATTATAAAGCTAGCCATGCCATTTTAGTACAAATTATAAATAGGCTGTACACCTCACTGTTTGAGCATAATACACATTTTAAAATAGACTGTACACTTTACCCCACCAATTTAGTACAAATAATAAATTAGAGTGTACACGTTATTCTGCACGTTTAGTACACAGTATATATTAGAATTAGATTGTATACGTCATTCCGTCAGTTTAATAAAAAGTATAAATTAGACTATACACGTCATTTCACCAATTAAGTACAAATTGTGTTGTAGACTACAGATTCGAATTGTCCAGTCTGCTCTAATATATTTCATATTTTTTAAACACGGTCAAATATATTTTGTTTCGACAATCTCTTGTGTATTTCGTAGTTTAGAAATACAATTTGAATGAAGCCTAGATTGCAGACTGCAACTTGAGTCCCTCAGTTTTCATACTCAGTTCTTTGACATCCTCCAGAAGGTTGGTCAGTTCCTTAATCCTGACCTGTTGTTGCTGGACCACTTTCCTCAAGGGCGACTGGGTCAGGTTACTTTGCTGGCTTTCATTCGGATCTTCTTCGATGCTTTCATCATCCCACTCGTGGGATGGACTGGCAGAGTTGAATATTATCTTTGGCATGTCTACTATGATGTGTTTCTTATGTGTTTTGTTACCGTCGACGTACTGGCTCATTTCACAGAGATGATTCTCCGCGTTTGTGTCCAACCGTAAGTCTTTTTCATGTTTACCTTCTTTGTTAGTGTTCAGCAATAATTCATTCTCGTGTTTCACGCTGGTTGCGGGGATAGTGTTAGCGTTTACTGTACTTGCAGAAGCAGTTGTGGCAAGATTGTGTGATGTTCTTTGAAGAAGACTGGTCTCATTTTCAGACTGCGCCATGTCAGATGCTCCCGTATCTATACCATCTAACGTTTCTACAACAGGCTCGTCTTCAATCCCATGGATATAAACGATTCCGTTTTTGATTGATGCTCGATACGATCTGTCTGGAAGTAGCTGAATAACACCATGGATGTATTCTTTGACACTCCGGCCTAAATCTGGCATATTTCTATTGGCGTGATATACTGTTGGGGTGTTCTTGTAACTGTGAAAGGCATTACCGATGCTGCTCACAAAGTCCATTTCTTTTCGTTTCCTTAGAGTGTGTTGAGAAAAAAGCATGCGCTGGCCATTGCGAACCCTTGTTTTGCAGAATGCTTGTGGTCGATCCACATATCCCTTGTCGCTTGTTTTACAATTTTCTGTATTTTCAACATTTGTTCTATGTTCTTTGCTTTCTGACCTGCTGTTGACAATCAAATTCGAAAAAGCACCCTCTTCCTCGTTAATTCCCAAATCTGTATAATAAACATCGTTTTTCCAAGCGTCGCGAGAATAAATTATTGGGAAAGTTATAGCTGAACTGTGTTGACTTTGAAGATTCCCCGTGGATATGTCAGGTGAATCACAGGAAGGTAATGCAGAGCTTAGCGATTTCGTGTTTTGAAACGGCAAGAACGGTCTGCCTCTCTGTCTGCAGAGTGTAGATCGTAGACTTTGTAAGGATTTGGTTTTAGGTTCAAGACTTTCCTGACTAGTTCGCGCCTTTCTGCCTATGTTTGGGATGCTGCACGTTGCCTGTGAGAGACGCAGAAGGTTGCTTTCCACTATGTCGTCGTCCTGTGTAAATCAAGGTAAATCGGTCACTGTATGGATATATCGTGTGTTCTGTTCAATAAATACTACCCAAACATTTACAATCACTACCACCACCACAAATACAATCATCGTCACCATTACAACCACAACCACCACCACTACTACTACTCTTACCACCATTAACACTACTGCTACTATCAGAACTACCTCAACAGTAATATGGGTCGCTGGGCAAATCAATGTTATGGAGTCCTTACGACAACCAAACACAGGAAAGAATTCTTTTTGTGTGTGGGCAAGTCACTTAACATAAACAGATTAGCATGTTCACTACCAATTATTTTACAAGTACTACCACCACCATTACAAACGCCACCACTACTACCACCACCGGTAATACTATTGCTGCTACCAGAGCCGTCTTAACACCATTATGGGCCACTGGGCAAATAAGTGTGATGAGGCTCTTACGACAACCACTCACAGGAATACAGTTTTTATTTGTGGCAAGACACTAGACATTTGTTTGTGTTTATGTTGATTCAACGGATCAACATCATGCCACACGGGTATAACCCATACGTGCTCCGTTCTACTTCTAACTCAAGCCTGAGTCTGACGGAACCCGTCACAGTGCACGAACTCTGTTGCATCGGCGGGGATCCTAAACAACTTTGGGTAGATTGTAAACTCCAAATTTAGCCCCGGGCAGCGGCGTTAGGCTACTCTTTTCGATGTCAAACTCCCAAAGGACATTGTTACGTAGGCAACAACACACACGGGCGTCCGGCCTAAATACACAGAGACCAGGGGAAATTACTAGAAGTCAACATGAAAAAATCCCAGCCTTCACCGGGGTCTGAACCCGTGACCTCCAGCCCTTGAAGTGGATGCCATACCTCGAGACCACACTATAGATAAGCGTGGGGCCCTAAGTTCGTGGGACTAGAGCGCCCATGCATTAAAACGGTACTGGTACCACTGCTGCTGTTGCTGCTACTACTGTCACTTCTGTTTGATTTTCTTCTCCTGCTACTTCTTTCTAAATATTTATTGTTTTGCTGGTTAGAATAATGTATAGTAACAATGTCGGCTCTGTGGCTAAATCGATGCGAACACTTCGCTTCGTAATGCCGGGATGCCGGGTTCGATCCCAGCTGCGGGCAATGCGCCTTGCGTTGGTTTCGACAGTGGTATCAAGAAAGCCGACCGTCCAGAAGGCAATGGCAAACTACTGGACGTAATTTGCCTAGAGAACCACACAACAGCCAGGGGCTGTTAGGGTTGGTTCTGCAACGTCCTGTAAAGGATACGCAACAATCTTTTTTTTTATATAGTAACAATATTCTGATCGTGTTTTGCCTTACAGCACAGCATGGAGTATCGTAGCTATTGGGAACAACTATTCCAATTTCTTGTTGTTGTTGTTGTTGTTCTTCTTCTTCTTCTTCTTTTCAACCATTTACCTCATCGAAGTGTTTGGGGCAGAGATGTAAGGATCGTTTGTGCGTTTTTTCCAATGCATTGTACAAGCTAGTGTTCATTTATGTTAGGTTGCTCCTGATGATGTGGTTCCATCTCTTGCGTCCCCTTGATCTGTTCTATTTCTTCAGCGTGGCTCTCTGTGGCAGTCCGATTTCTGCAAACCTTTATTTATTCGCCTTTTATAGCATACTTTTGAATGGGTTTTAAGTCTATCCCCCTCCCCCCACACACCTCTTTTCTCCCCTAACCCCCTCAAGTAGAGCCCTAATACCTAATCATTATCTCTTATACCACAGTATGTCTAAAATGACATGCAAAGTTACTTATTTTACATTAATTTCACGCCATAACATACAAACCTTAGACAGTGTGGTCTGTGATGTTCTACGAGTAGCTGCGTCATCTGGATCTACTTCAGGGCAGACTAAGAGATCAACGCTTGATGACGTTGCTGTTACATGTCCAACCAGTAACTGCTTACCCACAAGGGGGTGGATCTCTGGTTTTGGAGCCCGTGGCCTCATTTGTCGAAACTTTTCCACTGTAGTCATCATGCTGGCTCTAGGGGCAGAAGGGGTGGACTTTTTCACGTCTGGCAGATTACTCCGCAGTCTGTTGGAGCTACTTTTGTTTGACACGGATTGCATGCGTAGTCTGTCAATGGCTCTGGCTAAATACAGCTGGGGCAGGCAACAGGAAGAAAAGATGACAAAATAGTTCACATGTTGGTTTCAGGTTTAAATAATGGATCAACATCATGGCCTTCGGGTAGTAACCCATAAGTGCTCCATTCTTTTTCTAACTCAATTTTGAAGCTCAGCACAGTGCACCGGCTCTGTAGCACCGGCGAGAATCCTGAAATACTTTGGGTAGATTTTAAACTCAAAATGTTGTCCTAGCAGCGCCGTTATGCTACTCTTTTTCGATTTCCAACTGCCAATGCATTTTTTAAGTGCGCAACAATACACACGGGCGTCTGATCTCACTACCCAGAGACCAGTGGCAATTACTAGAAGTCCACGTAAAAAAATGCCAGTCCTTACCAGGGATTGAAACCGGAACCTCTAGCACCCGAGGCGGTCACCATGCTTCGAGACCACGCAGCCCCCTCCACCACCCTGTTCACATGTTGGATGTATCAGATACGTGCAGTATATCAGTTATTTCATTATGTAACTACTTGTTGATTTTCTTCTTCTTCTTCTTCTTCTTCTCCTTCTTCTTCTTCGCCGTCACTGGCCGTAAACTCCATCGGAAAGCTCATCCGCATCTTTACTTAAGTCTTGTTCCAGAACTTGACTTCTGCATGCACATCAGTTTTACACATGCACTCCGACTCCGAATAAAACATCCCGAAATAGGTGACTTTTACGACATGTTTGTTAGGGGCAGTGCGTCTTACCCCCCCCCCCTTTTTTTTTTCTTACCCCCCCCCCCCACACCCCCCCCCCCCACAACCCCCCCCCCCCTTTTTTTTTTTTTTTCCAGAACCCACAAGGGGAAGTAAGTGACAATGAGCATCTTTATAGAGTGTACAGCCAGAACAAGAAACACTGTGGGACATCCATAGTAGTCAACCTTTATTGTGGAGCCGGCACCTGATTGACTGTGTGTCAGAAAGGTAAGTCAGGTCAGTAAAGGACCCTTTCTATGGAAGTGGCGCATTAGACATATGGTGCTAGACGCATGTCCATGTAGACCAATCGACACACGCTGGGAGTCGTGGTCAACATCATGCCGGCTGCCTTTACTTTCCAGAATATTATTTGGTACCCATCTGGAAGCCAAGGTCAGTTCTGAACTGGAAAAAAACTGCATCGATGAGGATTTAAACCCTAGACCTTCAGGGTAGCAGGTGAGTGTGAGTGAGTGAAGTTGACCGCGTACTGGGAGATGAACATTCGTTGACACAAAGATTCATATTCGAATAAACATTTACTAGGTACTCATCCCAGAAAACCCAGTCAACAGTAAGGATATATTAAGGCCCCTGGCGGAGACAAAGTAACCTGAGGCCGGGACAGGGTAGGTATAGGTTAGTGAATAATTGACTGAGTATGCCTATTTACCTCAGTTTCCCCCCATAACTTGCCCCACAAGCAATAACTTAACGATTTCTTTTGACTTTCAAGTTTACTAATTCTGTAAAAATTATGTTACCTGACACACACAGCAAAGTTACCTGCTCTTGTTTGATCAAAGAATCTCTGAGCGAAGTCAGGCGAGTCAAGTACTCGGCGTGGCCAGTGTCAACACTGTCCGCATCACTGCTGTGCCCCCAGTGAGAGGGGCCTTTCGGTCGCTTGGACCCTAGACTTAATTTCTCCATGAGTCTGGGGAGTAAATATGCTTGACTGTTAGAGGCACATACTTTATTTGTATATGAAAACATGACCGGGGTTTAACTGGTTTCATACTACGTACATAGTGATCAAACTTTAGAATAATGCTTCGATTTCTTCTTCTTCTTCTTCTTCCTTCTTCTTCTTCTTCTTCTTCTTCTTCTTTATGATCTTCTGCTTCATCTTCTGCTACATCTTCTTTTTTTTTTCTTCTTCTTCTTCTTCTTCTTCTTCTTCTTCTTCTTCTTCTTCTTCTTCTTCTTCTTCTTCTTCTTCTTCTTCTTTATGATCTTCTGCTTCATCTTCTGCTTCATCTTCTTCTTCTTCTTCTTCTTCTTCTTCTTCTTCTTCTTCTGCTTCTTCTTCTTCTTATTATTATTATTATTATTATTACTATTATTATTATTATTATTATTATTATTATTATTATTATTATTATTATTATTATTATTATTATTATTCATCTCCTCCTCCTTCTCCTTCGATGCCAGAGAGTTCTTGCCGCAAATTTCCAATAAATGACCAATATTAAAAGAATGAATAGCATTCATACAGGCAATTAGGCAACGAAGGTAGTCAATATGGCAGCCAGATTTCTTTAGTGTGTGGTGACCAAAAGTAAAATGGGAGTGAACACACTATGCGACAGCCGGGATTCGTGTGCAAAAGTCTGTTACGCGTCACATGTTTGTTGGAACTGAAACAGTTAAGAGCCAAACCTTCACACACACACACACACACACACACACACACACACACATACACACACACACGAAAAAATCGGACGTTTCGGCCAGAGCCTTTTGTACCTCACCCATTTCCACGTGTGTGTGTGTGTGTGTGTGTGTGTGTTTGTGTGTGTGTGTTGTGTGTGTGTGTGTTTTTTTTTCTAATTCACAGTTCAGTGGATTAAGTCTGAAATAAAATGAAGCGCTAAGTTTTCAACGATCTAAGACCATATACTTATACTTCAATTTTCAGCACTTAAATGAAAAATGCTTCACTCCTGTTTAATAATAATAAAGCTGTAGGCACACATAAGTGTTTCACTTAACCCTACATAACGTTTTGACGGGAGTGGATTTATATCAACTATTGACAGAACATTGACATAAATCAGACAGCGGTTGATCAATAGAGCCCAGTACGGTAGGCTTTCCGTGTGTAAATAGAGTTATTCTTCGGAGAATCCACGTACTGGGTATTAAAATATGCTTGGATCGGTGGCTTCCATAAGGTTATGCGACTGATAATATGAGTCCTATGCAAAGTTACCAGTCACGTGGCATAAACTACAGCATTTGAGTTCTCTCAATTGCACAAAGTAATTAATTTCACTCCTTCTATCTGACAGCGTTCTAGCTGAAAGCACATATATTTGTTACTGTAAGTTTATCAGTCACATATATTTGTTACTGAAACTGCATCAGTCATAGTTAGTTGTTACTGTAACTGCATCAGTCATTGACAGTTGTTACTGTAACTGCTTCAGTCATTGACAGTTGTTACTGTAACTGCATCAGTCATTGATTGTTGTTACTGTAACTGCATCAGTCATTGACAGTAGTTACTGTAACTGCATCAGTCATAGTTAGTTGTTACTGTAACTGCATCAGTCATTGACTGTTGTTGCAGTAACTGCATTAGTTATAGTTAGTTGTTTCTGTAACTGCGTCAGTCAATGACAGTTGTTACTGTAACTGCATCAGTCATTGATTGTTACTGTGATTGCATCAGTCATTGATAGTTGTTACTGTAACTGCATCTGTCATAGATGGTTGTTATTTTAACTATTTCAGTGATAGATTGTTGCTGCTTTAACTACGTCAGTCATAGATAGTTGTTACTTTACAACAGTCCTAGAGTGTTGGTACTTCAACCCTTAGAGACATAAATAGTTGTAAATTTTACAGCATCAGCCATAGTTGTTATCTCAACTTCTATAGTCCAAGACAGATGTTATTTTAACCTTATCATCATATATTTGTGTTATGTTAACCTCTTTAGTCATAGATAATAGTTGCTTTAAACAGTGGAAGCAATGGTCTCACCGTATGCCCAAAGACATATTTCCACTAAGATCCCGCGATATAACTCAACCAGGAATCCATAAAATTGTATATTTTAGAATGGACTTCTCAATATATAATTTAGTATGGACACTCGGATATAATTCGACACCCATTCCTCGACAATATAATTCAATACAAACTCTTCTAATTGTATCCATCGACAAAGACCTTTTCAAATGATAGCACAGACAATTCAACGTAAGTAACACATAATACCTACATGATAGAGGAGAAATGGCTCATAATATTTTGGACACGTTAAACGTAATGATGCCCTTGGGGAGATCGAAGATGTAAAGTGCCGTTTCCGAAAAACAAAGCAGATCCAGACCACGAATGTGAATGCAAGACACTGAAGCTGTGTTGGCTATGAAAGCACATAGAGCTACAGAATTAATTAGAGAAAGAGATACTTCCAAGCGCACCGTGATGACAGTGACGTTCTGTAAAGGATCTGATTGATGATTGATAATAATGAAGAAAAAAAAAGGTATTAAGTGGCTAAATGCTTGTCTATCAGTCTCTGTCAGAGTCCTGAGTTCGAATCAACATCTGGATTTTTAAAATGTGTGTAATCGACTTAAGTATTCGCTGGAACTACATCATTATATTCATGCACTCAGAATGGATAAGACCAGACTCCCCCATCAAGCCCTCATACGGACACCGGAAGGGGAAAGAAAACAGGGAAAACCAAGACTGATCTTACGTAGAACCATAATCAGAGAAGGCTCTACCATGGGCCTGATGACCACCCAAGACCTAAAACAGGTGGCAACGAGCCGCTAGACATGGAGAGCTATGACCTCTGCCCTATGCACCGCCCTAGACTTAAGAGGGAAGACTTAGTCTACCACGTAGGGCCAGTTGTATAAAGGCCCTAGAAAACCAAGTGAGCACTCATGGGAATGCCAAATGTGCAGTGACGTCGACTGATAACATAACATAACATCTTGTAGGGAGTCGGCAGTGCGAAACCAAAGTTCAACGTTTCTCCTTCGTGCCAAAGAACTGCATGGCTGTTGGGTGAACAGTCGTTAACGAAGGCAGTCAGGTCGTTGTAGGGGCGACGCTTGCTGGTGGATGTAATGTCATAAGTCCCTTCCTCAGCTTATGGCGAGGGTACTGCTGGGGTGACCGTTTATTAACCCTCACATAATGCTTCAGGTCAAAATGGACGCTAGGCACGGCCACTTTTTTTAGCCGTGGCAAATTTTGTTGCTTCTGCCAGACAGTAGTCGTTGCATTTTTGCTCCATTTGTAGACTGGAAGAATATAGTTTCGTTGCCCAGCTTCTGAGTTGAGTGCATAGCGTGACACTGTGAGCTGCGGATTTCATTTGAATGTTTTTCGACTGTGACCAACGTGATTGTGCGAATTGTAGATTCAGAAAATGGCGTGATGCCGGTTGTCACAATATTGGTGGTGCCATTATGTGATTAAAATTGATCGCGTGTGCAACTGCTATCTGTTGGTGACTTCTGCTAGTCACTAGTGCTATCATCCAAGATGAGCTGCATTTCTAATGTCGGACTGTTTGTGTTAGCACTTCGGATTGCTACAGTATGCTTTTAATGCATGTGTATGCTAGCGCATATGCTGAGACAGCAGTCTGTCAATCTTTCCACGAGGGACTGTGATAAATATTTGGTGTGTTTTTCGTTGGCACAGGAGCGGAGCAACTATGGGGTGACCCGTTTGCTATGAAGCTAAAACTAAGATTACCAGATTACCAGATGTCACCGCCCACCGAGTTCCGATTCATCTGTTTAAAAAAAAAAAAAAAAAAACGGGTACAGCACCGCATTCCCAATGAGCTAGAAGCGTAAAAACATCCTTTATTTTCTTACCTCCTTAAAACTGTAACAATTTAACAAGAGTTTACATATTAGCAAAACCAAAGAAACTTACAGATTTTGAATCCGCAAATTCAAACAACAGCCTGAAACTTGCAACAGTTAGTACGAACTACAAACGAAAACTGTCACGCATGAGCGACTCTGAAATCTCCGCCACTTTTCGCGTCAGTGAAGAATGGTTTTATAATGTCCCAAAGAGCTCCGACTGTGATGGGACACGGGCTGGTGCCAATGGTAGTGGATATCAGGACCACACCAGCTCGCGAGCTTCATTGATTGCTGTCGGTAATCTGGGGCCTAGTTGTTGTCGGTATGTCTCCGGTATAGACAGATAGCATACCGATTACATTCACGGTGACATTTCAATGGATAGGTTCTTTTTCCTCTTCTTTTCTTCCTTCTCCTCTTCGTTTTTTCACGTTCTCTTCTTCGTCTTCTTATGATTATTATTATTACTATTATTATTATTATTATTATTATTATTAATATCATCATAATCTTTCTGCACCTTCCTCGTCTTCTTCATCTTGCTTTCGCCCTTGAAAGAGCGAATCGTACGATATATTTGGCGATGAAGAGAAGAGAATCCTGTTGCTGTTAATGCAGAGGTTAACGCTCTCATCAGTGAAAATTCAGACGAAGCAGATGCACTAATCTACACAGACAGATCCGTTATACGCCAAAAAAGAAGCACATGGGTATTCATACCACGCTCAGCGGGCAGAATAGTCAAAGAAGCCACCGGCGCCTTTTCCATGACAACCAGCAGCATGACGATGGAGGTGATGCCCGTGACGCAAGCGTTCACCTGGCTCGAAACACAAAAACTACACCCGCGTATGTATACTCAGTGATTCAATGAGTATGATCCGGAGGGTTCAGGCAGGTTCGGTGAGAAGACGATGGCTTCAATCATTACAGAAGTCCACTGTGCGTGAAGCCACCTTTATTTTTGTTCCGGAATATGAAGGCGTCGATGGAAATGAAAGAGCTGATAGGTTGGCTAGATCCGCTATCACTACCGACGGTCAGCCTATGGATCATTCTGATATTATTAATG